AAAAGAAAAAGAAAAGCTTACTGAGGTAAAAATGTTACAGTTTCTTCATTTCTTAAAAATGTTGCTCACAGTGCTTTTCTAATTTGTGTTATCTGATAGTGTTTCATATTCCCATACATTAAATACATACTTTCCCCTCTACAATTACTTTATTTTTTTCCTCTCCCTTTTCTTCCCTCCCTCCTTCCTCCCCCCCCCCTTTCCTCTCTCCTCTTTGTGCCAGTACTAGAGCCTGGGCACTGTCTCTTAGCCTTTATCAAGGCTAGTGCTCCACTATTTGTACCATAGCTTCACTTCTTGAGATGAGTCTATCGGATTTTGCTGCTTGGTCTGGTTTCAAACCAAGTTCCTCAGATTTCAGCCTCCTATGTAGCTAGGATTGCACACACATGCTCACCAGCACCATGAGCCCCACCCTTTTTGTGGTACTGAGTTGGAACTCAGGTCCTTGTGCTTCCTAGGCAGGTATCTACCACTGAACCACACTTCCAGCCCTTTCTTGCTTCCACAGTTTTTCAGCTAGGGTCCCAAATTTCTCTCAGCCTTGGACCCTGATTCCCCTAACATTGGCCTTTCCCATAGCTAGAATAATAGGTGTGTGCCAAGCCAGGCTTACCAAATGAGATGGGATCTCACTAACACTTTCCCAAGGCTGCCCTTGAACTTGATCCTCTAATCTCTGCATCTGAGTATCTGGGATTGCATATATCACCATGTCTAGCATTACCTCTTTCTCTCTTGCTCTCTCTCTCTTCCTTTTTGTCGGTCAGGAGCTTGAACTCTGGGCCTGGGTGCTGCCCCTCAGCTCTTCAGCTCAAGGCTAGTGCTCTAACACTTGAGCCACAGCACCACTTCCAGTTTTCTGGTGGTTTATTGGAGATAAGAGTCTCCTGGACTTTCCTGGCTAGGCTGGCTTTGAACTGTGACCCTCAGATCTCAGCCTTCTGAGTAGCTAGGATTATAGGTGTGAGCCACCGACACCCAGTTTACCACTTTTTTATACTAGTGTCTTCCTGAGTGAGTGACATGACACCAAGAAATGCGTTGAACTCCACCAGGCAGGCTTTGGGATTCATGGGCCACATGTTATTCCTTTGTCATCAAAGCCTTGCAGAACACCTGCTCTGAGCAAAGCCTGAAAAAGCCCTGGTGATACAGAAGTGAGTAGACAGTGTTCCTGTTGTCAAGCTCACCTGCCCAGCCAACTCAGAGTGGAGGTGTGTAGAGTGACCGGCTTTCCCTATTGCAGAGGAGGGCTCTCAGGACATGGGGGTTTCTCTGCAGGGAGAGCCAGGCTAAGTTGGTCATGTGGTGTGGTGAGCAGAGCAAAGATGGTTTGATAATTATACTTTTTTTTTTTGCCAGTCCTGGGGCTTAACCTCGGGGTTTGGCTGCTGTACCTGAGCTTTTTTGCTTAAGGTTAACACTCTACCACTTTGAGCTATAGCTCCACTGTAGCTTCTGGTGGCTAACTGGAGGTAAGAGTCTCATGGAGGCCAGGTGCTGGTGGCTCACGCCTGTAATCCTAGCTACTCAGGAGGCTGAGATCTAAGGATCGCAGCTCAAAGCCAGCTGGGGCAGGAAAATCCGTGAAACTCTTATCTCCAATAAACCACCAGAAAACTGGAAGTGGTGCTGTGGCTCAAGTGGTAGAGCACTA